TTGCTTCCACTCAACAACCAGGTTGAGGCCGCGCGCCCCGGAGGCGGCCCGGCCTGCGGTCTCACAGTCTGCGCGTCCGCCTCATCCCATCCGCGGATTTGATCGCCGCTTTATCATGCGCATTGTCAGAGCTCGATGGGTGATGGCGACTGCTTCCTTCACAGACCCTGGTCCCTTTTAGAGAGAGATTTTTGAAAACCAACAAGAAATGAAGACTCTCGCAGTAACTTTGCAACGAATTGTGCGCTCGAGTCCGCGAAAGGTGAACGTGCGTCGAAAGTGCGTGATCTTCACAGAGCGACAGATGAGGGACGAGACTGATAGAGATTTTGAAAACAAACTTTCTACAAACAAGAAATCACGACTCAGCTTGACACCCAAGTGTTGAGCACCGGTGACTGTGGGAATGGGGGAAGCAGAGTTCAGATCAGTCGAGGGAGTGTGATCTCCCTCATCCTCAACGGGCGTCCAATCGCAATCGGATTTACTACGGCGGTGGTCCAATGGTAATCCGCATATTGGACGTCCCCGTCCATTGTTCTCGCCGTTCTTCGGTGGGGCCGCGTCAGGGCGGGGGCGCAGGCGCGTGCCCCGCCCGGCGCGCAGGCTCCAGTGCGGCGCGGAGGCTCTCCCACCCTCCATCCCCATCGCGCGTTATACACTCTCACAAGCCTGTCTAGGTAGTGGGGGTTGCGTCGTGTGCCAAGCATGGCCACCACAGTCAGGCATGCTGATACTCTCGCAGTCTGCCCGTGTGTGTGCTTAGCCCCGCTCAGGCTTCTAAAACATGCTTGGTTGTCCCAACTTTGTTGCCACATCCCGCAGTTACTTTTGGCTCGCTCGGCAGATGGTCCCCTGGCTGCAGTAGTCGACGCATGCAGTAGTCGTCGCACTTGTCGAATCTTCATCCTGGTCAGGCCAGAAAGACAGAAAGAAAACAGACAACCCAAGGGCCCGCGTTTTTGTTTTTGGCCTGGCACACCGTATCGGCACTTGTCGAATCCTCAATTGATGGTCGCAGCTCAGGGGCAGCTCCCGCTCGCAGCTATGCCGCTCAATGTCGCGAGGGCGAGCGTTGTCATGCAGGCGCGGCCTCCGTTTGCTGCTTTGGCACTGTGTTGTCATCCCACTCCGCTGCTCGTCATCCTGCGTTCTCGGCCTCACCGCTTTAGGTTTCTCCGCCTGAGCTCATCCCCGACGCCCGGAACGGCAAAGCGCTCGAGGAGGTGAAGGTGCTCGCCAAAGAGCTGAACCCGGTGCTGGGCTACTGGGACCCGCTCAACCTCTGCCGTCTCAACCTGTACGGGCAGGGTGACGATGCGACGGTCGGCTTTGTGCGGCACGCCGAGATCAAGCACGGGTGACGCTCTCCTGAGCCCGACGTCGCGACCGCCCAACGTCACAATCACCGACGCCTAGCCTCCCGCCTCCGCCTCCAGCCGCGTCGCGATGGCCGCTTTTGTCGGCTACATTGTGCATGAGAACGGCTGGCGCTGGCCGTGGCCGCTCTCGACGTCCCTGCCCGACTACTCCAGCTTCGAGGGCCTGTCTGCGCCCGCGGTGTGGGACGCGACGCCGGCGGCCTCGAAGCTGCAGATCATCCTCTTTGTCGGGTTTCTGGAAGTCTGGTCGGAGACCAAGTTCGTGCTCGAGTCGGACGGCGAGAAGCACTACATGAGGGGCGGCAAGCCGGGCTACTTCCCAACCTTCGACCTTGGCAAGCCCGACTACTCGAGCGGCAACCCGCTCGGCTGGGGCGTGGCTCACCCCGTCCCCTTCAACCTCTTCGACCCCTTCAAGCTCACCGGAGGCCTCTCGGCAGAGGAGAAGGCGCGGCTGCGGCTCGTGGAAATCAACAACGGTGCCGCCACTATTCGCCACTATAGCGCCGCGTAGCAGAGAGACTCTGGTGGACCGGTTGCTGCAGTGCGTGGCCCTTCACCCCTCCCCCCCCCCCTCCCCCAGGCCGGCTCGCCATGCTCGGCATCATGGCCTTTGTCTCGGCGGCGGCAGTGCCGGGCGCCGTCCCCGCGCTGACCAACGCGATCAAGCACTACGACGGCGAGGTGATGGCGCCCTTCGCTCCCGAGTTTCACCTCAATTTCTAGTCGCTCCTTCGAGCTCCTTCCTTGGACGCACGTATAGTGCGCGGCGAACTCCCTCGGGAGCACACCATGTCCGACACGCCGAGATGTTTTCTGGCATCTAAATCCACACGCCGAGAGCCGCTCAACAGTGCTCGGGGCGGCAGCCCGTGGGGGGGCGGTCGGCGGACGCGCGGTGTGTAAAAGTTAGTCAGTCATTTGGAAGCAGGATACTCGTAAAGCCGTATCGGGGAGAGAGTTGCTTCACAGCGCGGCATCGGATCGCGCTGTGCATGACGAGGGCTAGCCTCGTTCTGCGACGGCCGACGCCGCCGCCGGCGGGCGGCGCGCCGCCCCCCTGCCCGCGCTGGCCCTGCCGTTGTGCCGATCCCTTGCTCGCGGCCTCGCGCGTCGCGGCTTCTCTCGCTTCTTGGCGTAACTCCGCTCTCCTCGCAGCGAAATTTGGCCCCTCGAGTTCCATCGAGCTCTCCTCGCGCAAGGACCCTAATTCCCACTCCGATCATTTGCCGCCATCCCGCCAAGACCCAAGTAATGTCGTTGTGCTCAGATCCGCTCTCGTTCCGAGCACTAGATAGCACTTGTACCTCCAGCCACGGTCGGTGTTGGCACTGGGGTCCCCTTTGGGTGTGCATCGTGACAGCTGACGTCCTGACGACGGGATTACCACTGGCGTGTCGTCCTCATCGGATTCGTCCTCTCCGGACTTCTCTTCCCTTCGGCGAGGCTCACCCTCCATGCCGTGAACAGGCGCCCAATCCATCCCACTTCCCAGCTAGGCCTACTGCTCGCCCCACTCGCACTCACTCACTACTCGCCAAACCCGTTCGTTGGCACCGTCCATATACGTGTACCCTAAGTTCATATACACACACATGAATTGTGAGAGAGAGATATTTTAGTAATACCAAACAACTCCAACACTCACACATCATTGGGGGCCTGGAGCCCTGCCTCCCGAGAAGGTTCCTTTCGGAGATCGGGACGACGCTGCGCCGTCCCCCGTATTGTTATTGGCGTGGTGTCCTGCTGAACTGGTGAGTGGTGATTGCTGATTGGGTGAATGGTGATTGGCGTTTCACAATTGGGCAACGCCAACGTCGCAACGATGCTGCGGATAAGGGCAGAGCAAGCGTGGGCACGCATTGGTCAGGTGCCATACTGCAGCCATGAGCCCCGCGCCGCAGCCGATGAAGAAGCCGCGGGCCGGCAGTAGCCACGTCGACCCACCGCTGCGCAATGGGCAAAGCGCGAGCCCAGCAGTTCAGTCAGACATGAACACTGCACCGAAGACGGCGGCCTCGGGGCGCGCGTGACCGAACGCGCTTGCGGCGCTGCCACGCCGTCCTTTCCCATCGCCGCCGAACCGCCCTCCCTCCGCCGCGACAGACGCCGCAAAGACGGCGCTTCTCGCCGCCCAAGCAACAGCAGCAGCTGTGGCAGCGAATCTTTGCGTCGCTGGTGCGCGCGGCGGCCTCGTCGCAGTCTGGCGGGCGCTTGCCTCGCGGACCAGGCGGCCGAGCAGGCTGTGATCGCGGCCGAGGTGGATTGGCTCGGGCGGGTGCCGCCTGGAGGCGCGCCGGCAAAGCAGCCTGCAAAGGCGGGGCGATCGGCGACGCGGCGGCGCTCGCACCTGTGCAGCTGACGCGCCAGCCGCCTGTGCCTTCCGGCGGCCTGTGCGCAGCAGGTCTATCTATTCACACCTCAGACGATCATCCACGTCCAGACAGCGTCCAGACAGCGTCCAGACAACGTCCAGACAGCGTCCAGACAGTGTCCAGACAGATCACACTATGTATGCGTATCAGTACAGTATCGTATGAAAAATAGAGGTGAATCAAACGGTGAAAAGAATAAGTTCACTCGAGCTTGTTTGGTTGTTAGCCGCCGCACACCCACCCGGGTCCCGGCCGGGGCCGCCCGAGGGTCAGAGAATTCAGAATACTAATCCTGGGGGAAGCAACCGTATGAGAGTGCGTGCCGGCACCGTATGCATAAACTATTGATATTTGTAGAGGAGCGAATTGTAATGGTACATCACCGCCGACACCGTAACACCCACCCCACCCTGAGCCTGACCCTCTCAGAGCCACAGGCACTCTACGGTATCGACAGTATAAGAGTACAGTGACTGTACAGTGTACCTTCGGAGACGTCGAGCCCCCAGGCGGCGGTTGGCTTGCTTTGCGCGCGCCAGCCCCGCGCCCCGCGATGGCCCTAGGCGCCAGCTGACTAACTAATTGAGCCGCAGGGAAGGCAAGCGGCAAGTGAACCAGGGCCACACATGAACATGAGAGGTCGGGCCCGCCTCTGATGCATGCTGTGCATGTGAATACGTCTTCCTTGATCCTGAGGCTCAGGCCTCTGCGCACCCCTCCCCACGACTCGGCCGCCATTCCTAATGCGTTGCCCTAGGCCAGGGAGGCGGCAAGAGATAAGCCGAAGGGCAAGGCCAAGGCCGGCCGAACGATGGCGAGGTCCCCTCGCTCCGGCTCTCACGCCGCGCCGAACCCGCCTGTCGAGTATCGATTGCCCCCTTTCCGGGGTAAAGAGGAGGACATCTCCTCCAACCCCTCGTCCTCAGGTGGCGCCTCTGGCGGAGCAGCGAGCGAGATGATGACGCATCCACTGGCGGTGAGCGCCATCCCGACGAGCGCGGAGAGTGCGGGGACATGCCCTTCCACGATCGCCGCGAGGAGGAGGACGACCAGCGAATTAGACCCGAAGATGGCAATGGAGATGCTGCGCGGAGAGGTCACACACGAGGCGTCAGACGCGCTCAGGGCTTCAGAGCGTCTAGGCTTACGCACACCTCGTGTACGGGCCGGCAGAGAGCGCCTCGTTGATGGAGTACACGCCGGCCGCCTGCATGTGGAGAGGTAAAGCTCTCCTCGCTCTCTAGCGAAAAGCGAGCTGCATGGGTGTGAGAAGTGCCTGCATGAAGCCGCACGACGACGGGATGAGGATCCCTAGGACACTCGACGAGTCCCAGCGGGCAGCGATCAGCAGCGGGACAGAGAAGGCGCCCAGAATGAGCGTGCGCGCGATAAAACCGCTCGACGCCGCAATGCCGCCCACGGCCGCCACGCGGACGGAGAAGATGGAGGCACCAAAAGAGATCATTGCGGCGAAGGCGAGGGAGAAGGCCACCGGTGAGACGGACGTGCCACCGCCACCGTCGAAGACCCCGGCCATCGTGATCAAGCCGGCAAAAACCAGCGCCACGCTACCCCACTGCGCGGCGTTGAGATACTCGTGGTACACAAAGTGACAGAGCACCGAGACCAGTATGACGTCGGCGCATATCACGGAGGCGAGCGGCCCCTCGGCGTCTGGGTCAGCACCAAAGCTGAGCTTCATGAACAGCTGTGCCATGCCGATGGCTAGCCCTCCGCCCAGTGTCGCAGTCTTCGAAAGGAGCGTCACTGTGCCCGCCTCGGGTGCGATCAGGGACTCCGCGAGGCCAGGCTTCGCTTCAGCTTCAGAGAAAAAGATGCGATGCAGAGGGTGGCGGGCAAGGGCTCCGAGGCCGCACACGCCAGTGAAAAACCAGAGGAGGCCAACGGTCCGGCAGAAGTCGTCGCCGGGCAGCGAGTTGGTGTATGCGATGGCGTAATTCTGGACTCCGAAAAGGAAGCACGCGATGGTGCTCCAGAGAATGGCGACAGGAAGGCCAGACGCTGCCATGGCGACAGGATCAGGCAGGTTGGGTGGGGGGACACAGCTTCAAAAAGAGAAAGAAAACATCCGCGGAAGGGACACCAAGGGACACAGCTTCAAGAAGAGAGAGATGCTGGTATCAAAATTCTTTTGACAAGAAGTCGAATAGATCGAGGGGTCCCGTACCATGCGGATTCGACCCTATCCAGTGCTCAAGTGCTCAAGAAGTGAATCTCTTTTTCTTTCGCCCAAGCCATACATTCCTTGAGCTTGAGGCGACGAAGAAGCAAACAAAAAAACAAAAAAACGAAGGCCATTCCTTGTTGTTCCTTGGTGTGAAGCAAGGAGATGGAGTGCCACAAGGATTCTGGGGCGCGAGACTGACCATGACGCTGCTTGTCATGCCCATGCAAGGTCTGTGCCTGTGATTTGTGCCTGTGTGTGTTTTAGTGTTTTAGAGCGACGTGGCCCGTCTCGTTTGTTTTCCGACTCGTATGGTAATGCGGGCAGCTTCGAATTGTGATTTCTGTCGCCTGTTTCCCGTCTATTAGCTAATATTCGATTCACAGATAGTGGAGAGCTCTACTCTCTCTCTCTCTCTGTGTGTGTGTGTGTGTGTGTGTCTGAGAGACAGAGTGGATAAGAAACAAGAAGCTCACGTCGCAGACAGTGAGGGTGTGAGAGGCGGACCTAAGGAAGGTCCTACATCTCTTTTTCACGATCTCAAGGCTCCACAAAAAAGAAACACCTTCCCCGTTCGACCGATAGTTGCTCTCCCGCGCACCACACGGGCGGCAAGATCCAGAAAGCCATGCGGATGTCTGCGGGGACTGAGCATGGTGCCGGCTATGCTACGGAGGGAGGCCGGCACAGGCGCATGCGAGAGGACTGGCAAAAGAATTAGGGAGGCGTGTAGGTGTTACCTCACACTGTCTAGGCAGAGACAAGGAGGGCCCCCGCACACACGAACCCACACATACAGAGAGGGACGAGTGCACACATTGGGCATCAGAGAGCCATAAGTGTCTGTTGCTGTTTAAATGGGCATGAAGAGGATTCGAGCCGCCGGGAGATCATGTCGTCACTGTGCAGGCTGCACGTCAATGACGGTGAAGGTCGCGTCGTCGACGCGCAAGGTCTGCACCCCTTCCGGGGTCGGCTCGAGGTAGGTGAGGGGCGGGAAGAGGTACTCCTCCTCTGCGGGGAAGGCGGAGAGGAAGGAGATCGCGGGCCCGCGCACCATGAAGTTCTTGGTGTCGATGCGGAGAAGCAGCGAGTTCTGCGCGCGAGTCGGATGCGCGTGAGAAGGACGTCCCCGGCATACGAGATATAGGGGGGGGGGGGGGGGGGGCAGTTTCGGACGCACGCCTTCATGCCCTTCATGCCTCGGTAGAGAATGACGGACGCGTTTGCCCGGCTCTCCTGTGCTGCGACAACTCGCAGAAAGCCGAGGGCCTCTTTGATGAACGCCACCGTGACCGGCAGCGGATGCGCCCGCCCCGCATCGTAGCGAGCCTAGATGGCGATAATTCGGAGGACGTGCTAGAGCGGCAAATGTCGGCTGTGGGTGCAGCAGGGAAGGGGTCGGAAGTCTCCTGGTCGCGCAAGCCGTTGTTGATGGTGGCGAAAGCCGCGGTGGTGTAGAAGCGCAGCGCCGCCACGTGCGCCTCGCGCAGCCCGGCGAGTATCGCGTCCTCGTGGGCGACGAAATCGCTGAGCCGCATGCCCCGCCCCTCCGCAGTCAGACGGCTAGGCAGCACGCAGCCGTCCTCCCCGCAGTCGCGCTTCAAGCCGCCCTGGAAGGCTTTGTCGCTGTTGCCAGCCTCCATGTCGAGCACGTAGGCGAGGCACTCCTTGTCTGCCTCGGTGCCGTTGCGCGCAACCTCCTCCCGGATCGCCTCCAGCCCGAGGTTCATCCCGTCGCGAAGCTCCTCGTCGCTGACGCACAAGTAGTGCGCGACGCCCCGCGCTGCCTAGTAAACGTGATAGGGCGTCACACAGGGACGAGAGGCCGGTGAAGGAGGATAAGGGGGGACATGTGGGCATGCATGCGCGAGCAGGCACCTGCTCCGGCCGCCCAAAGATCAGGTCCTTGGCCTCAAAGCGAACATCACCGCTTGGGTCTCGCAGCTGACTGTACCTCCCTTCCAGCTCGTCCGCCACGGCGAACATCGCCTTGTGCAGCTCGTTCTTGGCGTTGGCGCGAGCCTCCACCGACTTGCGTGCCTCGATGCTTTTAGCCAGTTCGAGCGGGGAGAGCTGCTGCGAGGGGCCGTTCTCGCGACTCGACGCGTGCGCTCGGGCTTTTATGCAGCGGCGGCGGAGGAGGACGAGGCACAGCAGGATGAGCACGGCGAACCCCGCGCCGACGCCTCCCACAATGGGGCCGACATCCCCGTCGCTCGGCTCGCAGTGGTTGCTGTCGTCTTTCAGGCGGCATTCGCCGCTGTATTCGCCCCACTGGCAGTCGGCGTCGCCCGCCACAGCGTTTCCATCGCCGTCGCGCGTGCAGCCTGCGCAGCCGTCCGACTCGCTGCAAGCCTAAGGGGAAAGGTGGGAGGCAGGCGGCACGGTGAGAGGTGTGTCGCCGCCCTGCGCGCGGTGGTGGGGGGACGCACACACCATTCTGTGGCTCAGCAGCACGGGACGACGGGCCCGGGGCCGAGCAAGCGCCGAAGGAAAAGATGCGCGACAAGTGGCATCCCTCGTTTGGGTTGCCTGTCTTTCTTTCTTTCTTTAGCACACTGGCACGACAAGGGCGCGGACTGGCGCGGACTGGCACACACACCGGCTCACCAAGGAAAAGAACACAGAATTTTGGGTGATGAATGACAGAGGAGATTAGTGTTTGGGAGTGTATGGCTTCACTAGTCGTTGGAGATAGCCGAATGATCACGCGCGCGTGCAGGCAGGGTAAGGGAGACACCTTTGCGACGCCGCGAATCCAGTCGATCTGCGCGCACGGCGGTAGAGCGAGGGTCGAGTCGATCGGCGTCCAGATGTCGTGCTGCAGGTACTGATACAGTACGGCGCCTCCGGGTCGCAGACGCTCTTGTGGTGCGCGTCGCGTACCAGTGGCGTGACGTTCTGAAGTCGGCGTAGCTGGCATTCGATGGACTTGTAGCTTCGCGCACCAACGCGGATCTCGTTGATCTTCGCGCCGCTCTGGTACGTGTGCAGCAGTAGGCGGTCCTCCTGGAGAGTCCATATGGAGTGAACTTTGAGTTCACCGGCACGTTTTTTCGCGCGTGCAGCTGCACGAGAGCATCCTCGACCCACGGCTGCAGGCTGATCTCGGTTCTGAGCTGCGTCTCCGCCTCGTCGCGCTCGTCGCAGGATCCACAGATCAGTCGGAGGTCGTCGAGAGCGTCGAGCTTCTTGAGAACATTTGTCCATCGCCACTTGATTGCATCTTTGCCTCGTTTGGTGGCGGATTCAAACGGCCACTGCTCTGCCACCTTTGGCAACGAGATGCCGTCTCGAACGTGGCGCAGCAGCACGAAGGCATCCATCTCCGGACGCCACGGGCTGGCGCTGTGCTTCGATCGGCCAGATGCGTGGACGGCCATGAGGCTGCGACGCAGAGCATCGGGAAGAGGTGATATGTAGTCCTCTTGCACCACTTGGTCGGACGAGAAGGGACCGCCGTTCATGGCAGCGAGAGCGTACACGTCCCTGTCCCTTCTTTTGACAAGAAGTCGAATAGATCGAGAGGGGTCCCGTACCATGCGGAATCGACCCTATCCAGTGCTCAAGTGCTCAAGAAGTGAATCTCTTTTTCTTTCGCCCAAGCCATACATTCCTTGAGCTTGAGGCGACGAAGAAGCAAACAAAAAACAAAAAAACGAAGGGCCATTCCTTGTTGTTCCTTGGTGTGAAGCAAGGAGATGGAGTGACACAAGGATTCTGGGGCGCGAGACTGACCATGACGCTGCTTGTCATGCCCATGCAAGGTCTGTGCCTGTGATTTGTGCCTGTGTGTGTTTTAGTGTTTTAGAGCGACGTGGCCCGTCTCGTTTGTTTTCCGACTCGTATGGTAATGCGGGCAGCTTCGAATTGTGATTTCTGTCGCCTGTTTCCCGTCTATTCTTTTATCAGTGCGCACTTGATGCAGGCCGACCACAGATTGTGGCAAGGATCACCAAAAGGCCCCCAGGGCGGAGGACCGGAGGTCCCCAAGGAGAGGCCGAATCCTGGCTCGTCAAACGGGAATCCTGGGGGGGGGAGAGGAGCGCCGCCGCGTCCAGCTGCCGCTTGTGCGTGATGAGCGAGATCTCCGCCGCCTGATGACGCGAAGAGGGAGCGGGTGAGCCCGGTGGCGCCGCGCTCTCGGCCGGACACCACTGAGACGGCCGTTCCGGGCATTTGAACGGGACCTTCGGGGGCAAAGACATGGGCTCTATGGCTCAGACTGGACTCCTCTTGGTCCCTTCTGATGCCCTACAGTAGGCCACACCTGGGCCTTACCTGGGGCTCTAGGGGCCGGGAAGGGTTTGCCCCCCGAAACTGGCCCGGAGAACCTTAAAATAGATTGTGACTAACATTGGCGTATTCATTTGTGCCGAACTCTATCGGTAAGTACAGGACATGCTGTTGGCGTAAATGCTTCTTCATACTTCACCCAGCTGCTTCATCCTATCTCCCCAGCTCCGAACCGACACTGACGAGTCCCGAGTTAAACCCGTGACGAAAAACGGACGCACACCAAGCGCTAAGCGTGAGGACGCGATTTCGAATTCGGAGGTGCATCTGAGCAAAATTGGGCCCGCCAGGTGTGAAAAAAATTATAAGGGTCATAGTCGCCGATTCGATCCGGAAGCCACTCGACCATCGAGAGGCCGACGGCCGAAGTCGGCAAACGTAGATCAAATGGTTAGAGATAGCGTCCACTCAGCGACCGATACCCGTAACACATCACCGAGGGAATTAGACACCACAGATACGCACAACCGACGCCCGAAGTGCCAAGAAGGACGTCATTAGTACGAAACCTCAGAAAAAGGCCATGGGCGTCGAGAGAACATTCCCTCGAGAGGACAAAGAAAGGCGACGCACCCCCTCCTTGCGCAGTGTCCCCCGCTATGTGTCGCCAATTGGGGCACGCTATCCTGTGCAGTCAGGGCAAGCGGGGGCGGGGGGCACTCCCCCTGGTCTGATACTGGGGTGTGACTGTCTCCAGTCTCGGAGGGGGGCAAGAAGGTAAGAATATCTAATTTTTGACGAGTCCCGAGTTCAAGGTCCTGAGGTGACTGGGGCGGGCAGGAGGTGCGCCCTCCGAGAGGAGCTCCTGTTTTGTTATATGCATATTAGACCTAAAGGTCGGCGCTTCGACCAACTTAGGAATTCCCTCTTAACCCACCTCTAACATCCCAACATGGAATTTCCTAGGCCACCTTTTGCGCAAAAGGTGGCCTAGTTGGTCGAAGCGCCGACCTTTAGGTCTAACATCTTCCCCCTCTCCATCATCTCACTGGGAGACGTCGGCGGTGGTGGCGGTGTGAGTGACCGATCGAGCTACAGGAGGAGCTTGTTCAGCAGGAAGGATCCAGGATAGTCTGACGCACTGCCACACTGGGATCTGGGTCTGAGATCATCGAGACGCCCCCCATCACCGTCTCGGATTTGTGTGGAGTCGAACCACTCCGGGATGGGCAAGCCCATCGTTCTGAGAATTGTGCCTCTCTGTCGCCTGTCTGATTAATTCCAATTTCCTCCTGTGCAAGACCAAGAGCGGAGAGGGCTTAGACGGCGCGTGGGCCGTGGCGGGAGAGGGCAGGCAGGGAATGGGCGCGGGGGAGAGAGGGGGGGGGCTCAGCCGTGCAAAAAGCACCAAATAATAAAACAGAGCACACAAAGCGGCGGGGACGGGCGAAAGAATTTTAGCCGAAAGAAAAAGGAATTCACTTCTTGAGACTTGAGCACTTGAGCACTGGATAGGGTCGATTCCGCATGGTACGGGACCCCTCGATCGTCTCGCCCTCCCTCGTTTACTTCTTGTCAAAATGGTCCGAACTAACATTGGAATTTATTTAAAGACCAACCAGAAAAATGCGCGTTGGGTCACAATTCATGTGTATATGAACGGTGCCAACGAACGGGTTTGCAGCGAGTAGTGAGTGAGTGCGAGTGGGGCGAGCAGTCCAGCTGGGATGGATTGGAAATTCTTTACGAAAATTCTTTCGGCTTGCTGTTGAAGCCGTGCTCTGTAGAAAAAACGGAAGGCCATTCGATGGCCAGAGTGCGATTGTGTGTGTGAGGGAGTTGGTTTGTCGGGAGGGAGGGGCAGGCTGCTCACCCACGTGCACCGGGCCAGTGCTTGCACTTTGAATGCCGTGGGGCTCCTGCCCGTGTCCGGGTGTGGAGATGCGAGGGTCGCCCCCCCTTGCCCCACCACTTTGTGTGTGTGGAGAAATTTACCTTACCTTACCTAGGAAGACGTCCGAGAGTGGGCGGCTAGCAACACACCTTCCTTGCCGTGAAATCCCTGTGTGAAAGTGCACGGTGACAGAAAACGTGTGTGGTGGCGGCGTGCCGTCCCCCCCCTGCAATTCAGTTTTTCTTTGTTTTGGAAAGAAAAAATCGGCCGGGGGTTTAACCTCGGTGCGTGCCTCCGTCCTCTGGCGAATCCGGACTCGCCTCTGTTCGCACACATATAACCCATGTCTACGCTTGGCCCCGAGGCATCCAGCACGAACGCAAAACTATGCGCCTCGTCGCCACTTCTTGGCTTCGATCTCTGCTCTTTTGTCGAGGCGGCGCAGAGCGCCCTTGAGGCTGACAACATGAAGGGCCAGGCCACGCCCAACCGTCGCCGCCGCGGGACCAGCATCCCAAACTCGCTGCTCGCAGCGGTGAGGCAGGAGATTCTTGTCGAGACGAAGGAGAAGAATGAGCGGGTCGCCCGCACCAAAGAGCTGCGGGCGTGGGGCAAGGGCGAGGCGTGGGTGCCATGTGAGGCGGTGCCAGAGGAGTGGCCCGACCCACCTCCGTATGAGGACATCGGCGTCTTCTCCCTCGGGTGAGAGGTAGACGTTCGGATGCGCTGCGGCGCGCTGCGAAAGCGAGCGCGCCGACGGCATCGCCCTTCTTCCGTGCGACGCGGGTCTCTCTCTCAAATGAGGAGAAGCAGTTGGTGTGCACGCGCTTACTAGCGCGTGCCGGTTTATCTGGCGAGTACGGTTCTTCGCGAGTAACGGTATCTGGCGTGTGTGTGCTCTGTACCCCCCTCCCTCCAACGAATCAAGCAAACCTACATTCGGCGAGCGATGTCGACCATGAAGTACAGCGATCGCCACCTCGCTGGCCTCTCCGCTCAAGGCCTCCCGACACCGCGTGGAAAACTCATGGCGCGGGCTCTCTCGGCTACGGGACCGGCCCCAGCTTCGGCTGAGGGCTGACAAGCTGCCGAGCCCAAATCACTGTGAGAGTCGTGATTTTTTGTTGGGGTTCTAAAATCTCTCGAAATGGTCCGAACTAACATTGGAATTTATTTAAGACCAACCACAGAAAAATGCGCGTTCGGTCACAATTCATGTGTATATGAACGGTGCCAACGAACGGGTGTGCAGCGAGTAGGGAGTGAGTGAGTGCGAGTGGGGCGAGCAGTAGGCCTAGCTGGCATGGATTGGAAAGCAGGAAATTCTTTTCTCGAGCGTGGGGTGGGGTGGGGATGTCGGGGTGGGGAGCGGGTGGGCGCCGGAGTGGGAGTGGTGGTGTGACTGCTCCTGTGGTGCGGGCGACGGGTTCTGAGGAAGCCGTCGCCCGCGCCTCGCCTGTCGCGTGAATGTGTCGTGCGACCGCCTTTTGTTATAAAATTCTTTTCTCTTTCGGCTGTACCCCCTCCCTACCAAATCAAGCAAGCCACCTACATTCATTCGGACGAGCGATGTCGACGAAGACGGAGTCGGCGAATTTGTCCCGCGTGGACGCAGCCAAGGCAGCGCTACGACAGCAGTGGCAGACAACTATCCGTGCCGTGCGTCCGCTGCCCAACCACAAGTACTTGGTCAAGGGCGACGCGATGGCTTTGGCCGCGCTCACGAGCGACAACCTCGGAATATGCCTCCTCGCCTGCACCATATTGGGATCGATGGGCATCGAGAACGACCTCCTATACGGCACCATGCTGCCGGCCATTGGCCTCGCCGTCCTCTTTGGCAATGGAGCTTACTGGCTGCAAGCGCGGCGTATGGCGGCCGAGAGTGGCCGCGAGAGTGTTTGCTGCCAGCCTTTCGGGATCAACGCTCCCAACGTCTTCATCTTCTCCTTTAGCATCATCGCCAACGAGCTGCGCGACGGCCGCAGTCCAGAGGAGGCTTACAACATGGCGGTGGCGTGCTCCTTCCTGACCGGTTGCGTGCAGCTGATCTGCGTCCCCCTCGCGCCGCTTGTGGCCAAGTACACGCCGCAGGTGGCGATGCTCGGATGCATCGCTGGCGTGGCGCTCGTCTACCTGTGCCTCGGCCCAATCGTCGACTACCTCGCTGAGGAGCCGATCGTCACCTTCCCCCCGTTCGTCATCATCCTCATAGGAGCCTATACGGGCGCCGGCACCCCAGCGTAGAGGGCGTCGTGCAGCCCTGTTGTTGGTATAATCATAGGAGCCTACGGCGGGGTGCAGACCAACCTTCCCATCATCACGTATGCCATCGTGCTGGGCGTCGCCATTGCGTGGGGGCAGGGAGGCGTCGGCGAAGAGGTTGACGGCCACCCGGCCTACGCAAACAAAGAGGCTCTCACGAGCATCGAGGGGATCGGCCCCAAGCAAATTTCGCCCGTGCACTTCTGGGACGAGCTGTCAGAGGCGGTGTCCAAGTACCTCGGGGTGATCCTCCCGGCGGGGCTCTCCGTCATCGTCGGAGACATCACCTGCTGCGAGCTGTGCGGGCTTGGCGGCGACAGCTACTCTGTGCGCGAGACGGCGTTCTATGACGCCATCTTCACGCTCGCGGCCGCGCTAATGGGAAGCATGCTCCAGGTGACTCGGAGCCTCCCTCGGGGACCTGCTCCTTTTGAGCCGCTCAGTGTGTGGCAGCAGACCACACTAGAGCATTCCTCACACACCAAGATCTCGTGCTCCAGGTGACGACCTACCCGAACCACCCGGGCTACTCGCGGCTGGGCGGCCGCACGGGCTACTCGCTCATCCACGCGGTGATCTTTGCGCTGG